CACTCTTCTGACCAGTCTCCAATGATTGTACCTCATTTCCATTTATACTTAATTGAAGTAGTTCACCCCTTTTTGAATGAAATAACTGGGTCATTATAATCCTCTTGAGCTTCACAGATAGAACCATTGGACGATAGCACTGTCTGTGTGGATTTCTCTTCTTTATTTATTATAATGTTTGATTAGGAAGTATTAATTATAACTGCTTACTGTAAAAATTTGAAATTTGTTTTTCAAGCAGCTGTACACTAATAGATGATATACTTTCTTGTAGTTCTTCAATCTCTTTTTTATTGTCTTGTAGTACTTCCTTTCGACCTGTTTCACAATTATACCATTATGAATCAACTTAATAAAGCATGTATGTACTTATTCTGATCCTTAGAGTAGATTGTAAATGTTCATTTTCTATTAATAACATTCGCTTTTTTGTACTTGCAGCCTTTTCTTTTTCCATTTGTTTGACTTTAGATGTAAAACCTTTATAATTATTACAATAATGCAATATTATTTTGCTATATCTGATGCCTGCATGCTGCTGTTGATAAATTCTAAAATTATTATTAAAATTAATAATTATAAGCATGCACTCCTGTTATAAGTTAATGTAATGTTCCTACCTTGTTTCTGTTTTAAAGGTATAAGTTGTGCTACTTGATCATCAAGGAGACCTGTACATACATACATTGATTTTATTGGTAAATAATTCATTTAATTCATACTTTTTTTGTCATTGTGGTATGGATTCAGCTTCATTAATTCTCCTTCACACATTTCAATCTCCTCTGCTACAATCTTTAATTCCTAAGAGATATGTAAAATTTTAAAATAATTTTATATCTGGTATACTTTGTTTCTGATGGTCCTATCATAGACAGTGCAGTGTCCTATTTTCAATCTCATCAAAGCAAATTCTTCTTGGAGCACAGTAAGATTATCACGAGCCCTCAATTGCAAAGCATTCATTAGATGAGAAGGAGCACCACAAATGATAATGATGGAGTTCCCTTTATGCATGCTTTTGACTATGATCCTTCTGCTCAATCCTTTGAATGCTTTCTCCATTAAACGACGAATATCATTCAATAAGTGCTCAGCAGGATCCCAGTCTAGAACAAACTCAATTGTTTCACAAATAAGAAAATCACTTGTTGAAAGCTTTTTATCAACCAAGAATTGAAGCTTGAGTTTGTGACAAAACTTTTCAAGTTTTGCCTTGTACTCCATTATCAATGGCTTAGCTTCTGTTATGTTGTAAAAGCTGACCACTTCTTTTACTGGTGCAATATTGATGATGCATTTGGTTTTAATAACTTTCATGACATCTTTCACTGTAGCAGCAGAGGTTAGGTTAGGGCCTAGCTCAGGATAGCAATCATCAAGAAATTCTATGAAATCTTCAAGTTGGTTCACTCTGATGGTGTGAGATACCAGTCGAGTGACTTCGTAGTAGAAAGCTCCAAATTTGCCTCTCATTTTGTCAAAACGAGGGTGCTCAAAAACTTGAAACTTAAGTTCTGTAGAAAATAAGAATTAATTGAATTATTTAGCATTTTAACCATTATAAATAAATGGATTACCTTTGATTCTAACTGTTGATTGTTGAACTTGATCTATAAACATACAATTATTTTTTGCTTGTTAATTATTTTTTGATAATTACCTATAATTGGTGTAACAATACTTGATTCATTGTGCACTCCACAACCACTGGTGGAATTTTCTGCCTTAAAGATGTCCTCTGAAAAGAAGCATAAATTTTATTAAACATTATTGTTTCTTACCACAGTCTTTCATTAAGTCATTGGCTATACTAACAGTGCCTATTGATCTTAATATTTTAGCAAATGATTTCAATTTGTTATGATCATAAGCTACTGCTGTGTATATTTCTCTCATTGCATCATCTGTTAGTGTGTATCCACAACTCTTCACTTCCCTCAATGTCTCTTCAGATATCAGTCCTTCTGTATGTAACAGATCAACTGATTCTTCAGAGAGTGTTGCTCTAGATATTCTACTACTGTAATGCTGTAGTAACTGGCTTGCAGGGTCAACCACTATTTAGAAATAGAATATAAATTTCAGTGTTTTTGAATTAGAATTGTTTACTTGTTTTTTCAATTTTTTCAGCCACTGTTTTTAGTTCTATTTTTTTAAGAGCGTTGGCCAATGTCTGCCAAGTAGGGTGATGTGCTTTACTCAGCCACTTAAATAAACACTCCATCAGACAACGTGAAGTATTTCCTTTATAATTAGCATCAATAGCTTCCAGTGTAGGATAAACTAGACCAAGTTTTAACCCAAATTCCAACCATTTTGCTTCAGGAAAGTTGTATTGCTTTAAAATCTCCACAATCTCATTTAAATTGCTAATATCTAATGATAAAGTTATAGAACATACTAAAAGGAATAAAGATGAAAGTACCTAAAATAATAGAGAACATTTTTCCTGGCTTGCTTGATGCCATTTTGCTGTTGAACAGGTATGCTACCCACTACAAATAAATATTTTAAAACCTTGTATGGTATAATTAGTAGCAATGGGTTACATTTTGTGATCAGACAGCCATAGCAATGAAATTACATACTTGAGTAGATAATACTAACTGTTCAATAGTGCATGAAATTATATTTTTATGATCAGGTCTGCTTATTGCAATTACTGTATAATGATAATGAGTTCATTGTATCACCTCACCATACAATGCATTTGTACTTTGACGGGAATGCAAACATGATCATCTTCCAAATGTTTCATTATGCAAGGATTGATTTTGAATACATAAGATAATTATATTTTTAATACTAACCAGTGG